AGTGGATCTCTCGCCCCACACCGGAGCTGAGTTTCTTTCGCCACCCAACCACCTCCCCGGCCAAGGTTGAGACCGTCGGCCGTCAGCGTTCATGCCCCAGCCTAAGGAAGGTATCGACCGTCCTTTCGTCAGGGGTTGTGTTTTTAAGTTTTTGAGTCTATAGGTGCTGCTTGCCGGCCGTTCAATTCTTCTTTCGAGCACTCCGACGAGGCGTGTTGGTGTTTCGCGGCGGCTCCCTCTCCCTCCCCTCGACGTGGATGGTTTTTCGGAGTCCAGATCTTAATCGAGAGCAAACTCTTCTTCTGACCCTTTCAGACGACACGAGTGACCACAATTTTCGAGGTTGAGGTTCCAGTTTACGACTTCGTTGGATCTCTTTGCTAGTGGAAGTGGCTCGTGTGCGGTGTAGGGTGGCAGAGCGTTGGGTCTGTTAGGTGTAAGGGAGGTATTAATTTATTTGTACATTAAATGTGTGGTTTATCTTCTTCATGGAGTTTCCTTTTCCTTTATAAAGTTTTGTTTTCGTTTTGTCATTGTCTCCTTGATAGAGTTGTACCTTTTAGATGTTTTTGGAACTATAAGAGGGTAAATCCAATTATTTGATTAGTCTTTGTACACCTCACTTCCCCTCTACTCAATTTGAGTTTTCTAGATGTGAGTGTTGGCACTTGCAATTTAAAAAAAATAAAAAATAAAAAAATAGATAACTCATTACCACCCAAACCACGTGCATTAAAACCATGTCCATATGTTAATTCTACCAATTGTATGGTCCGAAACGAACATGTCCCCTCATCCCCTTCCCTTTCTTACAGAAGAAGTACGAAGAAAAAAAATTAGATAAATAAAATTCTCGAAAAGTAACATTGATTTCGCGCTATAATATTATGAGTTGTTGTGATTATTTAACGATATATTTTGTATAAATTTCTTCTATCAATTTTAATTCATATTACTATCTACATCTGTATTTATAACTATACAAAACCACTGTTAGAATATCACTTGTGAGTTGTCCCACATCGTTCATACATGGAAAATAGACCACCTTATAAGTCTAATGGGCTACTCCTCCTTCCACTAATTGGTTTTGGGATGGAACCTCATTTGGGCTTCATATAGGCTTTTCCCTCTCATGGTGCGCTTATACCCGTTTATGGGAGTCTGCTTACATGGAAAATAGACCACCTTATACCCGTTTATGGGAGTCTGCTTACATGGAAAATAGACCACCTTATAAGTCTAATGGGCTACTCCTCCTTCCACCAATTAGTTTTGGGATGAAATCTATTTCAATTCTCAATTTATTTTTTTTTTCATAAATATTTCTGTTTCCGTTCTTCAAATTTAGTCTTTTATAATTATTAAAAATATATATATACACAAAGAATATCTTATCTTGAACTTGAAACCCAGTGACTAAACGGTAGACTTTCTTTTAAAATGTTATCTCATACTTTCATTCAATGCATCATTTGGTAAGATAATCCAAAATTGGTTCATAAAACCAAGCATAGGTTTTTTTTAGTCAATTACGGTGTTTGGAGCTATACTCAATTAACTTGTTATTCGACCTGCAGTCGTGAATGAGTGCCAACAAGGATTTTGTATATCCACAATGACTCAAACCGAGACCTTCTGAGTTGGTAGGCATAGGTATTTTGAATGGCTAATATAATAATACTACGATTTGTACTATTTTTTTTTATTTTTATAATAATACTCAAAAATAAAATTATACTGGACTTTATCCCAATACCACACAAAATAAAAGCCCCCTTCCAAGTTTCGCATCTCAAATCCATTGAAACCCCCAAATCAAAACACACACACACACAGACACACAGAGTAAGAAAATCCGGCGGCATGGGAGTGGTAATAATCGACGGGTCAACCGTCCGGGCGTTCGTGGCCGACGAGGCTCAGTTCCAGAAGAGCGTGGACGAGGCCTTCGCCTCCCTCGACCTCAACAGCGACGGCGTCCTCTCCCGGTCGGAGCTCCGCCGCGCCTTCGAGTCGCTCCGCCTCATCGAGACCCACTTCGGCGTCGACGTGGCCACGCCGCCCGAGGAGCTGACGAGGCTCTACGACTCCATCTTCGAGAAGTTTGACTGCGACCACAGCGGCACCGTTGACCGGGCCGAGTTCCGGGACGAGCTCAAGAATATACTGCTGGCGATAGCCGACGGGCTCGGGTCGAACCCGATCCAGATGGCGCTCGAGGATGACGACAGGAGTTTCCTCAAGCAGGCGGCGGATCTCGAGGCCTCCAAGGTTTCGGGGTGATCTCCGGCTCCTATCGGCCGGCCATGGTGGTGGTTTTGTTGTCCTGTTTTAACTAATAAGTTTTTTTTTTCTTTTAAATAATAATAATAATAATAATAATGATCCAGTGCATTTTTATGTTTTGTGGTTGTTGTTTTAACTAATAATAGTGTAATAACTGTGTGTGATAATAATGATTTTATCATCCATCTACATATATGCTGTGTGTAATTTAGTGATTGCTTATCTTTTTTCAATTATTAATTTCTTCAACACAACTCTATTCTTCAAAATAATTTGAGGAAAAAAATAAGAGGAATTTGCCCCAAATACAACAATATTTTATTTATATAACAATTTTACACTTGATTTAATGTTATTTGTAAAATTGCTTTAATGTTAGTTGTAAAATTACTGAATCACCACAAAATAATTACACATATACTAGAATTCAGATTTTTGTCAAACTATCTATTAATTAAGGAATAGATTATCTCATTGATTATCTCCAAAATCGTTCACTATTTTTTTTCCAAAACTGTTCACACACCACCACCACATAGCTTAGGTCAGCCATGGAGTTCCAAAGCTTCCACTCTCCACTCATTCTAGCTTCTTTTTTGCCCCCCAATTCTTAAATTTTTTGTACATCTTCATGGTGGAGGTGCAGGGGAAGCGAACTCGACGGCGGAGGGCGCGCAAGGAGTCATTGATAGGCTCAAGCACGCACACTTGTTTCATAGGCGGGGGATGAATATGGAGATGTTTTTCAAGTACTTGTTCAGGGATGCTAATCTGCCCAAAAATTGGGTTAATTTTTCATGATTACTGTTATTGAGAGCACCATTTTTCAGTTTTGCTTTGCCTTCTTCCGCTCGTAGTGTAATTGTAACATTTTGACGGGGATTAACGTGACCGAGATTAGCAGTGAATTAAGATAATATTCTCGAATCCCTTGTATTGGGCGTGCTGGTGATTTTGCCCATACTTCTTCAGAGGATAATTGCGACGGGGTGGTCGGGAATCGCCTTCAAGCTCACGGCTGGGCTCTTTGTCTTCGTGGTGGCTTGCTTTGTAGTATATGTTGCTTGTATAGGCAGTATATGTTCACAACAATATATGTTGCATGTATAGGCAGACAATATATGTTGCGTGTATAAGGAGTAACTTGGTGGTGTTTTGGTATTCACTTGTTGTTTTGGTATTCATTTTTTTTTGTTGACGAATAAATTGGTGTTCTTATGGCCATGATTGAATCCGTTTTGACGAAAAACTTCTCAGAGGATAATTGTCGAACACTTATTAGGGTGCTTGATTCGTTGATAGATAGCTCTATTTTGTACATATTGCGGTTATATATTACGGGTATATATTGCGGGTATATGCAATATATTCTCATTATATGTTTCGAGTATGAAAATTTATATGTTTCGCGGTATGAAAATTCTGTGCATGATTTATATGTCATCATCAGATATGATAATTTACATCTTGTGGTATATGTTGCGGGTATATATAATATATACCAAAGTTGTACAAACACACATAATATAAAATATAAACTCAAAATTCTCGTAATTTAAGCCAACGACAGATCGGAACACACATATACATAAAATATACTTTAAATATACACCTGAGTTTCAATCATTTCTCAAAATCGATTTCAGAACCCACATATACATAAGATATACACTCGAGATCACATAGATGAGACGAGTAGGCAAGAAGGTTTGTGGCGGTGGTTGAGCAGAGTCTAGGTGGTCATCTTTTCTTTCTTTTCCACCGTGTTTTTTTCTTTCTTTTAAAATCTTGACATTCGAGGGCTTGTAGCCGGAAAACCCGTGTCCTGGAACATGGCCAATATCGCACACGAAGCAGACGCGCCTATCTCGGCTGAGGGGCTGCAGTCGGCGTGTGCCTAGGCGCTGTGAATGGACTGATGCTCTTGGTACTCGTTGGAATTTGGTGCATCTCGGGTGCCCTCGAATCTCCTCACCTAAAATCGAGGTTTCTAGTGCTCGTGGATCGCCGACGCGCACGACCTTTTCGTCGTTGGAAAACTGGTGGCTCTCCTCCTTGCCGAGGAAGATGACGGAATTTTGGGATCTTTCTGAGAGATTTTATTTTTACTTAACATATTCATCTGCAAAATTATGGGGTCAGCGTTTTTTTGTATGGTAAGTGAAATCAAGCAAATCTCCAATTAATTCAGTAGTTTTAGGTAAATATGCAATTAAACTGGTCGTAGCCGCAAAAATACAAATAAATCTAAATCGTGTAGGAGGTGTAAAAATTTCCAAAACAATAAGGAGTTGTGTTGTGTACAAATTGTTATTTTTTACTGAGTACCGAATCGAAAGATTTGTTCCCCGGGTCAATCTCACAAGGAAGGCGATTCAGAATTAGAAGTGATGTTGATAACACATAAAAAAAATAAACAAATCCTAAACACTCTAACATTCGGAAAATTATTCTGATGTAATTAGAGTGTCCAACGGTTGATGACTTCAGCTAATAGTACTTCCTTTTTTTTCTTAGGATTCAATGTTATGTGATACAACACCTCCATTTGGTCAACTCTCAGAAGATAGTAGGAAAACATACACAGTCAACATGGAGCTCAATAAATATCAAAATGGTTAGCCCCTCGCCATAAGCAGAGGAGATCCCAGTGAACTCCGTTTCAGTATTGTCTTGGAAAACTAAGTGAACAAAGAAAAGAATTTTGAACGGAATTAAAAAAAGAAGGGAATATGTTTGTCACCTGGGCAAGGCATGGGCTCAACCTATAGTAAACCGACCAACAGCACGTTTCTTCTATCGGCAATAGTAGTCTGGAGAAAATGGACAAAAGTATGCATACAGAACACTAGTATGCACAACATAGAATGGCATAGTAAACCGACCAAGAGCACGTTTCTTCTATCGGCAATAGTAGTCTGGAGAAAATCGACAAAAGTATGCATACAGAACACTAGTATGCACAACATAGAATGGCATAGGATAATATCGTAACTTTTCTGCAGTATACTACTGCAAAGGTAATTAACAATACTACTAAATAGGAAATACTACTGCCGATTCCCCAAGAGAAAGTATTACCGTCATAAAGGTGGGTCCTTTCAGAAGAATAACTGGCGTGCCAAATACCATCCGTATCTTAATTCGAACATGTGTTTATTCACAATACACAGACATAAGAAATATTTACCATCCATATACAGCAAGAATGAGAATCATTCGACCAATTAGGGAAAGCCATAAGAGCCAAGTTCTAGGACATACTGAAAAACATGAATGGGATAGTCTTATGTGCATTATATATGTCGTTCTGAAAGTTATCAAACAAGATAAATATTAGTCTCTCTCTCTATCCCCCCAACCGTGTTTCTATTTTTGGTATGATGGGAAGAATGGCCGCTCAAAGACGACGATAATATACATTAAAAGTGTATGAGAAAAAACCAGCATTTGTATTTTCCAAAAGGAACTTGAAAATTTCACTCTGTTAAACTTTTAAAGTTCTGAAGTCATAATATACATCCTTAAGAGTTCTCACAAGAACATGGTTTCATTTGAAACATTCTCATTTAGTTCCTCTCTTCTTCCATAGGAGCGTGATCAACGGCATAAGCAAATCGTGAGTATAGAAATTCCACACGAGCAATTTAGAGGTTTTGCCTGCAAGAGAAGTTATAAAACTAGTGATTAAAAGCTCCACGAAACAGAGTCACACATGTGATGTCAGTATGTGCATCGCCATTTGTAAACACAGGCGTGACTAGTCAAAGCCAAGACACATTTTGAGTGCATATACAACTGAATCTATATAAAATGACAGTGTCTCAGAAAGATCTATTACACTGAATTCGCTCATAAAGCAAGGTGATTAAAAATCAGCACGTAGGTGAACTAAAAGCAATAGGGATCGTGTATGTCCAAATTAAAACGTCGATGGCTATATGGACATGGAAACATGGTATCCATGTAGATGAACCTTCATCAGTATGATATAAAAACATGCACTTAATCGAGTTACATGTCAAATGTGTGTGCCTTGGCAGAGAAAAGGAATCCTCTATGCTCACTAATTGAAGCGTGCTTGCTTGGTATGATGTCTTCCGAAATTCCAAAAAAATGTGCTATATGAGAAGCTTAACCTAAAACCACAAGCATACGGTTAGCTTAGCATTTAAGCTATGAATAGAAATAATCCATCTCTACATGCCCTTGGCACTTGGGGACGCACTTTCACATTCAATAAGAAAACTTTACAACCAACAGTGCTCGTTCGATGGAGCAGTTACATAGAACGACAAATCATTTCAACTGCAAGTAAAACTCATATGAAACAGCAGGGAATAGCTCAAAATAATTATACTAACTGCAGCACATCCGAAGTCCACTGGTAATGAGTTCCATCTAACACAGGCTCACCAGTTCATTCACTGAAGTTAAATAGATGTCAATCATAGCTACATATGCACTGGGATTTATTATAGCAGAAGGAAAAATGTATTTGAATCAGAGTAGTTTCTCTATTGAGAATGTGGGTGCAAACCTTCATTCAGCTAAGTTGCATACAGAAAACAAACCACAGCTTAAGTAAAGAGAAACAAAATCAAGCTGAGAGTAATATACATAATTAGGCATAATGGGTCATAGACACTAGCCACCAATATGTATCATTGGTCTGTTTGGCGTCTTTGCGATGTCAAACATTCCAGCATGAGCCGACTTCTTCCTTTTGATCTGGTTTTTAAATAAGTAAATATTAAGGACTACAAGATCATAAGTATGTCACCATACAAAAAAACAAAACTATAGTTGAATAGACATACAAAAAAAACAAAAATATAGTTGAATAGATAAAAAGTGACATACCGCTGCCCCAATTATCTCTTTAAGTTCACTATCATCAGCACCGCTTCGTAGAGGGTCCCTCAAGCTAACCTGGAACAAAAATAGGGTAGCCATGTAATTTAAAACTTAAATCTTCATAGAAGCATGTAATAAATAAACACTCATAAAAGATTATTTGAACTGTGCTGCAGAAGTGCTACAAAGATTATTTGAACTGTGCTGCAGAAGTGCTAAAATCTCAATGATATTATAAGCAGCACCCCTGGTGGCCAATCAATTGACTGCACCACAAGTTCTTTGGAATTGCGAAAATTGAAGGTGACGACCACTGCCAAAATTGGTGAGGATTACCTAAGCATATCATGCAATCAACAATTGAAGAGCTTAACTCTAAACATTGTTAATGCTTTATATCCACCACATCCTTACCTCCGAAGGACCAAAGAGGCAAACTTTAAAGTTTCCATCAGCTAGAAGTCTCAATCTATTACAACCGGCACAAAAATGTTCCGTCATTGATGTAATGAAAGAAACTGTACCCTGATGTCCATCGATCCGGAAATTCTTGGCTGTCTCTGTGGGGTCTTCCTGAATCCTTTTTAGCCCTGTAAATTGTTTACCCTGTTCAGTAACATTGAACCACTCAGGAAATGCATGAGGAAATAACAAAATTTACACAGAAGAATTCTCCTCACCACAATATCCTTAAGTTCAGCATAAGGTACAAGTTTCTTCACATTCCATATGTTCCCATCAAATGGCATGAACTCAATAAACCGTACATTGATTGGCTTCTCGCGTGTCAGCTCAACAAAATCGCATATTTCGTCGTCATTGAATCCACGCATAACAACGCAATTTACCTGTGATAGAGCACATTTAATTATACATACATGATAGCCATTTTGAAAAGATTTGACAATCTTTGACGCCGGGCCAATACTATTTTTCACAAAATTTAATAAGAAAAAGATACGAAAGAATGACTGAAACAAGATAACAGCAAACTTAGGACATTAGGGTCAAACATACTTTGACAGGATTATATCCCAACTCTATAGCAGCATCTATAGACTTCAACACTCTTTCATGTCCCTTTCGCCTAGTCATAAATTCAAATTTGGCCGGAACCAAAGTGTCTAAACTTATGTTGAGTAAACTAAGCCCACACTCCTTTAACCTCGGAAGCTTATTAGCCAGGACAATTCCATTCGTCGTCATTGCAAGTGTCTTTAATCCACTCAACCTCGAGAGCTGTAAGCAAATTTCTTCTATATCTTTCCTTACAGTCGGCTCACCGCCAGTCAGCCGAATTTTGGTAACACCAGAACTGACAAACAGATTTGCTAGGCGAATAATCTCATCCTGAGATAGAAGCTGAGGGTTGGGAGTAAGCTCTGCACCTTCAGCAGGCATACAGTACTGGCACCGCAAATTACAACGTTCAGTCAACGAGATCCTCAAATAAGTATGTAACCTCCCGAATGAGTCGGACAACATGTCAGATACTTGACTATCTTTAGGCGTGTCCGCTGGAAGTTTTTCACATGAAGTGGAGTACATGTTTAGTATGGTTCCATTAACAAGACAGCTTCTTATTGTTGGTTCATTGCAGCTGTTGTGTCGAAGGCGAGGCATGATTGCACTGTTGGCCTGTAAATAACAATTTGATGGCTATGAGCTACTTTCGGAAGAATATGTTTGCAGGGTCCATAATTTATATACACAGACAAGGAAACAACCACTCCTCAAAGTGTGTAATGATAATATGATATTAAGGAACAACTTGATATTGTCAGTTGCTAAAAGAGGTAACCAAATGTGGGGAAATGTTACGGACCCGTTACGGAACCATTCCGTCGGGTTTGTAACCGTTAGATCATTATGTAACGGTCGGAAATAGTTGATCTTGTAAACCTCGACGGAATGGTATTGTAACGGGACTGTAACATTTCATTCGAAATCAAGAATCTCAATACGAACTGCCCAAATACATAAAATCCATATGAAAAGATGGATTTTTGAAGAAAAAAAAAAAAGGGGGTTCAACCAAATAGATAAATCATCAGGTCAGTATAATGCTTCTCTCGATTAAGATCCAAAAGCAACCGCAAAAAAATTAATTTCCATTGAGTTGGAGTAAAAAGAACAGAGGAAACATACCCAGGTGAAGTTCCTTTGACGCTGATGCCATTTGACAATCTTGGATATGAAAGGCCGCATGACGATGAAAGCCAACTGAAACAGGAAGCCCACTTTGAGGAATTTTCTGATTTATTTATTGAGTTTCGAAGCTAAGTCGAATTGAAATTGATATCTTATGTGGACAGATGGCCAAGAATGAAGATAAATAGTAATGCTCACCTACCCAGATTCATTGTTTGCTGTATTACTACGGCACTCGTGATATACTTCAACTCGGGATTGAGTCATTGCATATCCCTCACATGTGAGATAATCCAATCCGCCAGTTCTGGTGATACTGTTTTTATCCACGCACTGAAATATCCATGTTGTCCTCAATTTTATAATGTCAAACCAAATTAACCTTCAACTTCTTTCTCTTTGCAATTATGTCCAACACTTGTCGTCTTTCACCTCCCCTTCCGACGCGATCACGCGAATCGAGCTAACGGCCGCCAACATCCCTAGCTCGTCGGCCACCGCAAGCCGCTCAATCTAATAAAGAAATTGTTAACAACCGACTTGATTTATTGAAATTAAAATGAAAATTAGCGATTATTGTACAAAATTTCCGCCTAAACTTGCTTGCGCGCCTAACTTGAACCAACTCGGTACAAATTAAACATCGAACCGACTTCGGTTCAGGGAGATAACCGACCTCCCAAAGATTCTTCTGCAACCGACCCCTCAAAGATCCTTCCCAAAGGTTCGACATGCCAACCGAGGTCCGACATGACTGAACTTCCAAGCAGGTAACACAATAGTCATATGTTGGACCACGTGCTATATATGCAATCATTAATGTTCTCTCGTTGACCGACAACCCGCCTCCAAAAGCTGCCAAGCATTAAATGCGACCATAGAAGTCAAACATATCCCACTATAAATAGAAGAATTTATTACTGTACGAGGCACATTTAATACACACATACAAAAATAAGCTCAGTTTACACACTTACTGAATTCTTGTACACAACAATTACTCAAAATAATACACAATCTCTACTTTTTACGCTTTAATAACATCGCTTTATAGTTAATAAATTTCATACAACAACAGTTTGGCGCTAGATGAAGGACCTCATAATGTATATGAGGTTAATCTTCAATATCCTGCACACGAGCCGCATACCTCGTGTCAGACTTACGTTCTTTTGTATAAACAATTATCATGTCTAATTATGAGCACCAAGAACAAAACTCAAGAGCTGGGCATAGTCGTGGAGTCGCCCAGTCTGCTGGAAAAACAACTGTGCCACCAACTACACCCGATTTCGTAGCTCTGTTCCAAAATCTAGAGTTTGTGAAAATTTTCTCTACTTTAATGGCTCAAACAATCCCATGGGCCTCTGTTCCTGTTCCTGGTCAACCAGCTGCGTCAATAGTTCCGACAAAGTTACCAACGCCATCGGCGCTAGAACGTCATGCACATGCAACCTCGTAACCACAAAACGATTTGCCACTAAAAGAACGGGTCGTCGTTCAAACTTCTAGAAATCTCAAGTTGTTGTTGATCAACCAGTGAACAACTTACAAGAGATGACTGCTGAAAGCCATTCTGGGCATTATCAGTGACCCCAGTACTTCCCCGTCCGACGTTACCACAGCCAGACAAGCAAACCGACTTACACCAGAAACTTGAGGAAAAAGGCTTCTGACACGAGTCGGTGGAATTAGAGGCCTTGCGGAAGAAAATTGCTGAGTTAGAAACTCGTTAGAGAATTTCGAAAGATTCCTCCCGACGTGTTCTGATGTCGGGTCATGTTTATTTGGAAGCCGATTCCCCTCTGGCACCTGAGCTCACAATAGAGCCCTTACCTGGGAAAATGAAAGTCCCACAAATAGAATTATGATGGAACGTTAGACCCTGACGCTCACCTCAGCCAATATACTTCATGGATGGACTTACATGAAGCCACTGACACTCTAAGGTGTAGATGTTCTCTTTAACTCTGGGCCTTATAGCTAAAAAATGGTATCACTCCTTACCACGACACTCTATATCGAAGTGGAAGCAGTTGAGGTCGGCATTCCGATCTCACTTTATTGGGATCCAAGTCTGTTTGATTCCAAAAGAGTCCATAGTCAATATTGTCTAGAATGACGATGAGAGTGTTAAGGATTATATGGTCGGTTCAAGGAGCGTGTACAAAACATGGAACTGTGTCACCCTGAAACACTACTGATTACGACCATAGTTGGTTTGAAACCGAATTCCTTATTCCCGTGGACACTCTGCCAAAATAAGTCAAGCTCATTTCAAGAATTCTTAGCATGTGTCAGCAACATATAATCGCTGAAGAATCCATGTCAGTACCTAACTTTGACTTCTCATCAAAAGAAGCCAAGTCGGGAGAAGAAGACGAAAAGAAAAAAGGAACATTTTTTTTAGAAACAAGTCGATGAAGCTCCAATTCAGGGGGCCCTTAAAAGGAAATGAAGATAATCTTGAATCGAAAACAACAAAGAGGCAGTATGCTGAAGATTTGAAGTCGAGTTATCAAACAATTTGTCACAAAACTTAAGCTCGACATAAGCTAGTTACTTTTGGATTGGAAATAAATTAAAATTCAACAAATTCAAATACCAAAACTAAAAAAATTATCACATAAGATCCCAAAACGTGCGATTCTGCCACTTAAACTCGACACATTTGAAATTATATATAAGGGGACATTCCGTATTCACCTTGATTGTTGAAAGAAATAATCATATTCTTAAGTGAAACGCTAAACACCGCCCCCTTTTCGATTATTACCGCCCCCCCAAAAGTCAA